TAAGTTCCAAAACTATAAGCGACTGGTTTTCTTTTATCAGGGAAGTTTTCATTTATTGGGTTGAAGAAAATTCTTCACAGATTGGTGGAGTAGATGAGACCGTTGAAATAGACGAGGCGAAAGTCGGAGAAAGGAAATATAATCGAGGCCGTATTATCCCAGGACAGTGGATATTTGGGGGCATCCAACGAGGCAATGGGAATTTCTTCGTAGTTCCCGTTGAAAATCGAAATTCGGAAACTCTTACGGAATTACGTTTTTGTTTTCATTGAAATTTTCTACTTTGGTGGCAGTTCGGCAACATTGCTGACCAGTATGCAATGTTTGGCTGCGCGTACCCTGCGTGCAGGCATGTGCGCGTGCCACAGCAGTTCGTACCGTAAAGCTTTACCAAATATCACAATCCAGTATGTGCAGGAAGCATGAGGCACGAAATCACACAACTTATCACAGATTATATCGTCAGAAATGATTACAACCCACATAGGCCTTTTTCTTTGGATGATAGCGAATAATGAAAATCGACAGCCATCTTGTTCATGGCAAAACCACAAACAACAATGGGGAAGATTTATTTGACATTTGACTTGCGTTATCGCTTTCATCCACAGAATTTTTTCCTACAGTGGGTTATTTCATGATTTAATCTGTAGCGCCTCTGGCGGCTAATCAGTTTTTCTCGGTTAGGTTTGGTTAGGTTCGGAGAGCTTTGGCGTTGCCGCCAAGCAGCACTGAGTGAAAGATGATTCTCATTGGTCCGCCCTCATTGTCACTCTCGATGTCACGTTATAGCCGGACGTAATCCGTGTACACATTAAGCGGGTAATTTGAATTTGTAATATGCATTTTATTGTTTGGATTTTATAGGAGGAGAACTGTTTATCTCCGGATAAATTTACTTCAGTAATATACAAATTTTATTAATGTTGACCAATAAAATTATAACGTTGACGCATTTAAAAAGAAAAGTTCATTAAACACTATCCGAAACAGGTTTCGCCATGTTCTGCCACAGAGTGCATTACAATCTTTTCAACGTTTCCACATGCTCTCAAATACCAGTTTTATCTAGACTGCCCCTGGCCATCCAATCCACAATTTCAGTGGTTAAGAATCCCCACTTGGGAACCTGAATACCGCTGAAGATATTTCTGGAAAAATATAAAATAATGATAAACTAAAACATTTTTCATTATTTACCTAAGCATTTTTCTATCATTAGTATTCACCTAGGCAGAGAAATGTGACTTCTCAATAAGGAAAAGCATTATGTAATGGCGACTTACTCAAGGTAAAAGTAAAAAATCATTTACTTGTACGTGCCCTTACTTTTCTGCTGCGGGCACGCAAAATTTATATTCAACCAATTTGGAATATACCGTGGATTCATGTATATTACCGGAATATTTCTTTTGAACATATTAGGTATACTCACATGCACATATACACAATATGTACATACCTCATATATTCATCTGCACATATACACAATATGTACATATTGATGTATAGATTGATGAATATTCCACGAACATTCATGTTAAGAATGTTCACCCATGTATATTCCCAGGATATTCCCGCAATGTTCTGTATATTTTTTAAACATTCTGGGATATTCATAGAATATCAAATGCTATCTGAGATGTTGCGAATGCTTCCCCAACTCAATTTTAGGGGCAGATGCAATTAAATAATTGAAGTTCCCAAATACTTTTTTTATTATCTCGCTAGAAAACACTAAGTAAATATATCACCAGAAAAGTCGTCTATATTGGCAAATTAGTAGATAAATCGCACGTAACTGGAAAAGAATGATTTTAACTTGCATCCTGAGGACTTCTGCACAAAATCGTTGTAGAGGTGATGATGGTGATGAGGAAAAACGCCCCCAACAACAGCCGGTCCAGCACTATCGAGGTCTGCTTCCACTCCAGCTCAATCAGCTCCTTTCGCTCCTGGTCGCAAATCCGCAGCTCTGTTCTTTCAATGTGCAGATGCACTCGGTTCAGCACCCTCATCACTTGTTTTTCGAATAATTCTTTAAAAAAATATTGTCATCCAGTCCGCAAGTTCTTACCTCACTGAACACACTCACCTAAATCGTCGCTTCTGGGTTTCGACACAAACCGTGTGGATTTTTCAGCACATTGCTGCAAGCAGCAACCGTCCTCATGCGAAGACAGTTCTGACCAGGGCCACTGACCATCCAGGCAATTTTTCGCGCTTGACTCCTAAAAAACTCTCAACGTCCTGGAATAGGTCGGAAATAACTTGATGGCATCACCTGCGCCTTCGAATCACGATGCTTATGGTCAAATTTGATGAAAATCAGCGGCGCAATCCGTTTTAGAACAATTTTGCGAATTATGTTTGGCACCGATTGGCCCCTCACTCCTCTATGGTAAATGTTCAGAGTCACCACTGATAGTCCCGAGGCAAACGACACCAAGCAGATGCTTGCCCCATAGTACATGCCTGGAATCGAACAAATTTTTAAACGTGAACTTTTGCCCTCCGGTCGCACTTTTAAAACTGGATTATCACGCGAATTCACACTTTAGTTGCTGTGGTTTGTTAGCGAAAGTTTCCAAGTTTGATTAAGACGAATAGTTGTGCTTTAAAGCTTTGAATGTATTCTAATGATCTAGATAAGGGCAAAAGACTGTTGGTTTGTGCGAGTTCGTGCTCTTGGAGTAAGTTGCAAATAATAGATACATTAAGTGCAAATTGTAACTAAGACTGATGGACTAATTTTATTTGATGGAATTGTCACCGACACACTAGAAATCCCCAAATTTATCCTGTAAAAGACTGAGGAATAACTATGGGGGATTTTAGTTTTGTGCCCAAATCAGAATCTGATACGGGTCTTCACATAATATTTCGTCTGTCACTCTGCGAGCTGGCAAAGACATTGAAAAATTACATTGAAGGGTTGTTGAGGAAAAATCGCGTTTTTATCGAACTCATTTCCGTCTTTTTGCGGCCAACCCAAACTTATGCAAATCGTGTTTGGATATCTCTACTATTAACTAAGCTTACCAGAGTAAACCAAGGAAAATACAGAGGACAATCAAGGTAAAAATGAGATCGATTAAAGGCTAAAACTGTTTACGTGGCATTCATTCCTTTAGCATTGACAATCGATAATTATCAACCTCCCACGTGTAAGCTGGTTGCCAAGAATCATATTCAAATGCAAATCGGTTTTGATCGGAATCTCATTTTTCCTTTAGGCATATTTGGAAATCATCCCTCAGGGATAGTAGCTGATTTATTGCATTAGATTGAATGAATTTGATTGAAATGTGGGGTTGTTTAGGCAATATGAGAACATTTCGGACATAACAGATCAGTTTTTTAATGGCGCTAATTCAAATAGACTGTGTCTTTTATGAGAAAGGTTTGGCGCTTTCTTTCAGTTCCAGTGAACGTTTTTGAATTGGAAATTCGCCCGCGATTCAGATCAACTTCTTTCAAACTCCGCCATGTACGCAAAGTAATAAAAGCTCCCTTTCAATGTATAAAAGACCCTCTTAGTATTTCAATATACAGGGTGGTTTTTTAGTGCGAGAGAGTCCATTATTTCCGTTGGTGTTGAACTTTCTAACAACAGTTTCATATAAAAGTTGTTCACGCACAAAGTGCGCACATTTTAAAAATATCCCATATGACACAGAGTGTCCAGGAAAGCGAGGCAAGATCAAAGTGTATTTTTTTAAATAGAACTACCCATTTTTTATTCGCTCATGGAATGCAGCTTGAAATGCTGCATAAGCACCGTAAATTATTTTTTTCTTGCTTGCGACGTTGGTAGATTATCGTGTTAGTAAAATTTTGCTTAAAAACATGGTATTTAAAAATTCATTGTAGAAGCAAAAAAAAGCAGTTAGAGAGACAAAAAAATACGTCTTTCCAATCATCACAGATCCGTTAAGAATTCTATTGAACCAAAATATTAATATATTGTACAGGGAGTTAACAATGTGTACTTCAATCTAAAACGTTTAAACGCAATATAACTTTTGTTTTTCAAACGGAAGTACCTGTATATTAATACGTCATTAGATAGCCAATTTACAAAGTTACAAAATTGCATTGCTTTAAACTATGAAATCAACCGTGTTCAAATTATAAATTATTTTATTTAAAAATTTCAAAAAGTTGTTACATTTTGTAAGGTGGCTATGGAATTCATTAAATAAGTGTCAAAATTTGATGATACTTGACATAGAAAAGTGCAACGTTTCCTAAAATGCATGGAATTTCATAGCAAAAATGCAATAAAACTGCATACGTCTATAAAAATGTAACATTATACCTACTGTGATATTTTAAAATAAATGTTCAAAATGGTATCCGTCAACATTTAAGCAACGATTAATATCTACGTTTTTGAAATGAATCGCTAACGAAGTTCAAAATAATATTATTAATCAGTAATTAATTTTTCAATAGCAGGATTTTCGGTCAACGGATGGTGGCAAAATAAAACACTACTTTTTCATGGGCCAACGTTTCGACTTTATTCAAGTCATCCTCAGGGCTCTAAAATGGAATACAGAGGGGTTTGTAGCTTAGAGCCTTTATAGCTATTATAGGATTCACTCAGATTCTCTGTTTCTTGTAAAATTGACAGATTTGTTAGTTTTTATAAAAATTGATTCACTAATTAGTCGATTTACTAGCCTTGGCAATGCTGTGGGGTTGGTTATATTGGTCTTAGCTGAGTCTCTTTTGTGTTCTGATATTCGCTGTTTTAAATATCTGCCTATCTGACCAATATAGCATTGATCACAGTCTGAGCAAGGTATTTGATATATTATATTCGAATTTAATTCAGTGGGTGTTTTAGACTTAGTTTTAGTGTAAAATAATCTTCCAACAGTGTTCGAACTGGAGAAGGCTATTTTGATATTATCCGAAGGTACAACTTTTGCTATTTGTTGTGACAAACCTTCCACATTTTATGGTAAATGTATGTGTTACTTGTTACCTCCCTGTCTACTGACTTATAACTCAAGGTTTTGTTAATGAAAGTTAGAGGGTAATCGTTGTTTAACAAGTAATCCCTAATCAAGGCAACATTCTTGTGATGGAATTGATCTCAGGAATCACTCTCAAGTCCTTAATTCCTTGTGCGTCAACAACTTTTATATGAAACTATTTTTAGAAAGTTCAACACCATCGGAAATAATGGACTCCATCGCACTAAAAAACACTCTGTATGTACATACAACCACCTGAACTGTGAATAATTTTTTGATCGAGAAGTTTGATTGATATACGGTGTTTTAAGGCAATGTGAGATACGTTTGCGACAGTATTCGTATATGTGATATTATAAGAAAGTGTGGCCAGTTTCTCGCTTTTTGCCAGCACTCATTTATCCCGAAGGGCCAAAGTAGCCAAGTTTCCAAACTGGAAATGCGCCGCAATTGAGGCAAACTTTTCTAAAACTCCAAGATGGATGGAGAGAAACAAAAGCGCCCTGTCATTGTTTAAAACCCCGCCGGTCAGATTTGTGTCGAATTTCCCATTAATTAATGGTTCACCCGAGCTGCATGTTCTGGTTGGACATACAATATAGAACATTTGTATATATTTTGTTATTGTTACTATAAGATCCCTCTTCAAATTTCCAGCGGATCCAGAATAAAAAATGGGAATGTGCGTAGGGGATTCGGGCAAAAACCATCATTTTTGCTACTTGATCTACCAACTCGGCAAAAATTAGGATTTAATGCCATTCGAGTAAATTGCTCCCAATTTTTCAAATTCAAGTATTGTCTATGTATACACTGTGAACAATTCAAATTTCAAAGAGATCCAGAGCTCTAGATTAGCAGTTCGGATTTTTTTAAGCACAGCATGCCTTTGGGTGAAAATGCCCATTTCTTGTCCGAATTTACCAAGTCGACCAAAATTAGAATTTAGCGCGATTTGATTGAAATTTGCTGCTTTTCCACCAAACGCAAGGGTCTTCTATAGATGATGGAAATTTCATATTTCTGCCGTTCTCACATTAAAAGTTACGAATTTTTCAAATCTGGATTGTACTTTTTAGACCCAAGATTACCAGGATACCTAACTCTAAATACCATTTTCCGGATGTTCAGCTTCAAGACTCTTCCATAAACTGTGCAAATTACAAATTGCTACCGGCTCTACGTATTGACACTTGGGATTTTTTTCATAGAGTGCATAGAGTGCATATAGACAAAATCTGTTTTTGGATCACAAGTTTCTAAGGCGGCAAAAATAAAAATTCAATATGATTTAAATAAAATTTTCCATACTTCCAGTAGATGAATAGTCTTCTATGGACTGTGAAAATTTAAAACTGCTAGTTGCTCCAGATTAGCAGTTTCGAAATTTTCAAGAATAGAGTGCAGTAAGACAAAAACGCCCATGTTTGGATCTAAATTTACCAAGGCGGAAACACTCAAAATTAAATATGATTTGAATGAAATTTTCTGCGTTTTGAGCTCCAAGGATCTTCCATCGACTGTGCAAATTTCAAATTGCTACCGGCTGTAGATTAGCGATTACGAATTTTTGCAGCCATTGATAAAAACTCACATTTTTCACCCAAAATATACCAAAATGGTATAGTCTAAAATTAATTGAATAACATTTTTCTTATTTCCAGCGAGTCTTCTATGAACTGTACAAATATGAAATTGCTAGTTGCTGCAGATTAACAGTTTCGAATTTTTCAAGAATAGAGTGCACTTAGATTTTGTCTTGTCGTCCATGTTTTTCTAAACTTACCAAGGCCGAAACACTCAAAATTTGATATGATTTGCATTAAATTTTCCTTCCGCATTTCCAGCTGCAAGGATTTTCCATGAACTGTGCAAATTTCAAATTGCTACCGATTGTAGATTAGCAATTACGAATTTTTCAATCATAGATAAAAACGCAAAATTTTGGTCCAAAATTTACCAAGACGGAAACAATTAAAATTTAAAATCATTTGCATAAATTTTTCCACATTTCCAGTCTTAAGAATCTTCTATGGACTGTACAAATATCAAATTGTTACCTGCTCCAACTTAGCACTTGCGAATTTTTAAAGCATAGAGTGCATATAGACAAAACCGCCTTTTTTGGACCAAATTTAGCAAAGCGGAAATTTTCAAAATTGAATATGATTTGAATGAAATTTTCCCTACTTACACTCTCAACAGTTTTCTATCAACTGACCAAATTTCAAATTGCTATCTGTTCCGGACTAGCAGTTTCCAATTTTGCAAGCATTGAGTGCACTTGGACAAAAACGCCCAATTTTGGACGAAAGTTTACCAAGGCGGCAAAAATCAAGGTTTGATATAATTAAAATGGAATTTTCCCTATGTTCAGCTTCAAGAGTTTTCTATGAACTGTGGAAATTGCAAATTGCTACCGGTTCTAGATTAGCCATTACGAATTTTTCAATCATAGATAAAAACGCACATTTTTAGCCCAACATTTCCAGGGCGGCGAAAATTAAAATTATTTTTTATTTGTTTTCCGTATTTCCAGCCTCAAGAGTCTTCTATGGCCTGTACAAATATCAAACTGCTACCCGCTCCAACTAAGCACTTGCAAATTTTTCAAGTATAGAATACAGTTAGACAGGAATGGCGATTATTGGACCAAAGTTTATTAGGACGAAAAAAATAAAAATTTAATATCATTTGAATGAAACGTTCTGCGTTTCCAGCTTCGAGAAGGTTCTATGGACTGTGTAAATTTCAAGTTGCTACCGATTTCAGAGCAGTTTAGCACTTGCGAATTTTTCAAGTAGAGTGCATATAGACAAAAACGCCTGTTGTTGGACCAAATTTACCAACGCGGAAAAATTCAAAATTGAATATGATCTGGTTGAACTTTTCCCTACTTACACTTTCAACAGTTTTCGATCAACTGAGCAAATTTCAAATTGCTATCGCTTCCGGATTAGCAGTTTCAAATTTTGCAAGCATAAAGTGCATTTGGACAAAAACGCCCAATTTTGAACCAAAGTTTACCAAACCAGCAAAACTCAAAGTTTAATATAATTGAAATTAAATTTTCGTTATCTTCAGCTTCAAGAGTTTTCTATGAACTGTGGAAATTGCAAATTGCTACCGGCTCTAGATTAGCTATTACGAATTTTTCAGATATTAACGCACATTTTTGGCACAAAATTTCCAGGGTGGCAAAAATTAAAATTTAAAATCATTTTCTTTTTATTTTCCGTATTTCGACCCATAAGAGTCTTCTATGGCCTGTACAAATATCAAATTGCTACCTGCTTCAACTTAGCATTTTCGAATTTTTAAATAGAATAGCATAGATTTCACTTGTACAAATGCGCCCATTTTTTAACTGAAATTTACTAAGACGGCAAAAACCAAAATTCGATATGATTGGAATGAAATTTTCAGCCTTTCTAGCTGCAAGACTCTTCTATGGACTGTGCAAATTGCTATCGGCTCCAGATTAGCAGTCGGAAAAGTCAGGATTTATTGCAATTTGAATCAAACTTTCCAGTTTTCCAGATCCAAGTGTCTGCTAAGAACTGTGAAAATTTCCAATTTCTTCCGGCTCCAACTTGTAGAAATAAAAATAATTAAAATTTAAGTAAAAACTTAGATTAACCAGCTAAATTCTCGATGCTACCTTGTTATGGAAATGAGCTAAGGCGAGACTTTGACCAAAGCAATTATTTGTTCGGTAGTAGTCCAGTCCCCGACAGGGCAACTCAAACACACCCAATACCATTAACAAGGGCGCAATTCGACTGAGAATTTACTTACATGGTTTCGATTGTTACTTACTGATTAAGGGCGTTTTCTCCGTCGGAGGAAGAGTTTCTCTGATGGTCATCAGGAAAACAGTCATTGAGAGCAGGGCGCTGATTCCTAATGTCACTTTTTCACCAGACTCTGATGGCACGTAAAACACTAAAAGGGCTGAAAAATCAATTCTTATTAATTCAGTAAACTAACTCGACTAAACTTCATTAAGCAATTAGCCACATTTGCCAATGACCCAGAATTTATACGGAAGTTCAAATAGAAAATTGCTGAAAAAACGTTACCAATTCCATTGATGAGAATGCATGGAAGGATCAAGTTGAATACGTAAAAAAGCGGCCTTCTGCGTATCTTGATAACGTAAGTGATGTCCGGATAGGGTTCCACGCAGCAAGAATAGTGCTCGATGTGTTTGACCGAAGAAAAGCTCACCAGATCGAACTCGCCATTGGCCTGGTAGTTGGTCACGTCGCCTTCTTCCGTTTGCTTCACGATATCCAGCTGAAATCGAAGCAATTACTTTACAATGGCATGATCATTTTGCAAGTATTTCCATTAAGCTGGCAGTCAACTTTCCAAACACGGGGGGCAAAAAAATCGGAGTTAACTATTTTAAAAGAGGCAGCAGAGAAGGAAGTCAGTTGCAAACTTTCAACCCTTCAAAACCTTAAGGGGGCGGCGTGTAATATCCACAATTTTCGCTTAATTCCATGTTGCTTTTGTCATAAATTTCGCTCTGGAAAGACACCAGGAGGAGTTTGGAAAGTAATTAAAACTCCGATGATTTTTCGAGGAAAATTGTTCATACACACAAGCTCAATAGGCAATATGGCTTAAGCATCAGCAGCCGCCTCTATTTTAAATAAGCTGCTTATGCCAGGATGGCTTGCTATCTTCCACTGCATATAGGCCGGATTTTTGGTAAGAAAAATTCACATTTTTCTCTTCCTAATTATGCCCGCACACTCGCTGAATGCAATCAGTTTTCGGTAATTTTAGATCGAAAAACCAATGCAGTAGAAGCACGAGTTAATCAATTATTTCCAGTTCATCGGCGTTTCCGATTAATTGAGACCTGAACGGTTACCGGTTTGTCCCTCGAACTATATATAGGTGAGTTTCTATTTAAAAACTCAAGTTTATGGAGGGTTTCGCGTTTTGCCCTAGATTTTTTACCAGTTTATTAAAACCGGTTAAAATATGCGCAAATTAGGGAAAACTTTTACTTTACTTTATTAACAACCTTTCTTGGTGTCGTTTTTGAGAAAATGCGGATTTTGCAATTAAATTTCACTACTTTCACATTAACTTTATATAACGTTGTCAAATATCCACAAAAGTAGCAAATTTCCGAAGGAGAACTCAAATTTTTTATGAGGATAGCGCATTAAGATATTATTGAAAAAAAAATATGCTTAACCGATCAGACAAAAATTATGGAAAAGTAAAGAAATTAATCGAAACTAATCCCGAATGCCCACAAAATGTGTGTGAGAAATAAATTGGAGACGTGGCAAATGCGCGAAATCTCCCAACATCATCGGGACAACGGTTTGCGTCCTTTGTTATTTTATGGAAATTAGTGAGTTTCAATGAGTGGAAATAAGTCGAAAACCCCATTCCTTTAAAAACTACCACTTAGCAAAGTGTTTATTAACAATACAGAGGGTCTCAGAAATACGTTCCTTAAATTATTTGTTTGATTTGCTTTAATACTTGCCGCTGGTAAAAATTCAAAAAAAATTTTATAATTGAAAGTAAGCACCGGTTACAGCCTTAAAGCTAAGCCAAAAATTCATAAAAATTTTAATGAAACCATGTTTATTTCAATTTTTTTTATGTATGGGCAAGATCTATTTACCCCTGAATTTACGGTGCTTATTGCTGAGACACCCTGTATAATTTATAAGGTGAGCACATTTTTAACGGGGCAGACCCAAGCTCAAATGTCTCTTAAAACTATCAAACGGTTCAAAAGACTAGGTCTATCTAAACTATCGACGCCTTGTATGTTCATAAAGAAACTCTTCTTAGGAAACAGTCAAAAACCAGTGGCGTACGATGCAAATTCTCAAATCTTCGAAAAAATCGACTTAACCTCAAAGCTGCTACTTCAATCTAGACAAGTGTGAAAGTTACATTAATATTTTGACATTACAGTTTATCTTTAAACTTGAATTATTGAGTTTTCCACGAAATTTCAACGTTGAATTGCCAGCATCTACTTCCAGTGAAAACCTACACATTCAGGATCGACATTTTTCCTTTCAGTCGCAGATTTTAACCTCAAAACCACATTAACCTGAAAATACTTACTTGCGACCGCAAAACCAACACAAAACCCCTGGATATCTTTCTTTATATTTAACAAAAAAAAATTGAAAACTACATTTCAAGCGCAGAACCACATGCTAAGTGCATGCTCTGGAAAATGAATATCCGTTTGACAATTTAAAGTAGAGCGTATCCGGTGAAACTGGTGATCTTGGCTTAAGTTAATCAGGAGCGGATAGGGTGGCAAAAGACGTCTAACAGGTCGTACAAAAAACAACTTAGACAAGGAAAGAGAGATTCTCTTGTGTGAGGAAAGGAACGACTTTATAGTCGTTTATAAACAGAGTGACAGTTATAAACCCGCTCCTAAAGTTCAAAGCAAGTTCTTTAGAGGTCGCTGACATCGCCCTCAAGTGTTCCCTTTTGTACATACTTCAAATTTGAGTGATGGTTAATGGCCGTATTTATAGACGCCTCTCAAGTGACACTGAACACTCAAGTGACTGTCATAATGAAAAATGCGTTTTATAGTCGTCACTTCGAGAT